GAAAATCCTTTTTTTAAGTCTAAGAGGAACGTGAGCCGCGCGAGTTTGGTATTTGACGAGAGGCAATGTAGACAAAATACTGAGGAGGCATTTTAATTTTTAAAAATTGTACTTTTGGATATTTGAAGATGGGGTTCGGATATTTCCAATTTGTGCTCAGGAGGTGCTAAATCATAATTTAAACTGTTGATTCAATAAAAATCCGAAATTTATATTCTATTAGGTTTGAGCAATCATTTTGAAAAGCACAAATTCTGATCAATTACATATTCACATTAGATTGTTGATTAAGAGGAATATTTGGATATAAAGCTGTATATAATCGCCGAACTGTTTCGCAAGTTATGACAGATATAAGTTTTGGAAATTGTGACCCTTTGTGGGTGAGGTACCAGAAGGGGTTGGCAGATATCTAGCATCTTCACAAGAGATCTTGCGTTAGCAAAAATGATTGATGTGTGAAATTTGAAGAGAACCGGATGCTTATTTCGGATTTTATGATCGTTTTGGTTATTCAAAACTTTGACCCTTTGTGGGGGAGGTACCAGAAGGAGTGGACCGACATATCCCATCTTCACATCAGACCTTGGGGTAATAAAAATATTGTGATTTGTGAAATATAAAGACAATCGGACTGTTATTTCACATTTTAGAAGAGTTATAATTATTCAAAATGTTAACCCTTTATGGGGGAGGTACTCGATGGAGTGGACCGATTTTGTCGATTTTCGCACCTGAACTAGCACAAAGATGTAGAAAAACGGAAAAAAACTCTTTCTCTTTCTGTAGTAAATTATTTTCTTTGAAAATGTTGACATTCTGAGTGGGAGGTACCAGAAGGAGTGTACCGATATGACCCATCTCCGAACTCTATCTAAGTTTGACAATAATATTACGATGTTCCAAGTTTGGATGAAATCGGATACTCCCTTCGAGAGTTATCGTGCGCACCGCAGAGCAACATTCGGGCAGCGTTTGACGGTTTCATTGGCCGTTTGAAGGCCATAATTCGTGCCAAAAGTGACCAATTCGAACAAATCTAAACTTATTCTAAAATGTGATGCTATTTCCGACATTTTTTGCTTTCATTCAATAAAATTTAAGATAAAATGTAAAATTATGGAGTTTGACTTTTTTGCAGTTGCATTCTCACCCTATAGATTGGGCGCCATAAGCGTGTCATCGGTTTTTATTGCTTCTAATTGAAGAGAGAAAGACAAAGTCCTTGTCTTTCCTAAGGCAAGGTTGAAGATCTTCTATAGACTTCAATTGATTTTTTTTTCAAGGAACAACACATTTGGCAGCAATCGTATACTCGGGAAATATTAATGTAATTGCTGTACATGTCTTATATTGAATGGGGTTCCAATGCTCGCACTTAGGGCACGAGTCTATTTTTTAACAACACAGTTGTATATTTTTTCTTCCCTACTAATGGAATGGCTTTCACTGAGGAAAGTTTTTTCATTAAAAAATACTTTCTCATCGAATCCTGTCATCCAATTATAACTTCTATCCATTATATCCTTGACTCGATCACAGTCATGCTGCGTGGGAATCATTTGAAAATGATTTTACTGTAAATGTATTTTATGTTCTATGGGGGAAACCTTTGCACATGCACAATTTTCAATAACAGAAAACAAATACAACAACATTATTGAAGATCCTTATCAGGATTAGTGATGCTCAAAAAAATTTTTGGTCACTAGACGTTCCCACGATCAGAAAGGTAAACCAGACCCCAAAAAAACAAAACAATAGATAAACACCAGCTATTGTCTAGGAGTTGGTAGGATTTCTTCTACCTGCATGTCCTTGCAACCTGGCTGAGAGTATAAAAGGTCCAACACTGAAAACGTACAGCATCATTCTCATTCGATAAACTTAACAGTGAAGAACTCACTTTCAAAAATCATACATTCAAAATGTGCGTAGAAATCACACAAAACCAATACAACATGGAAATCACCATCAACCAGAAGAAAAACTCCAACAGCATGAAGAAGCTGTTTAAAAAATTATTCAAATCCAACAAAACTACCGACTCAATAGAATCCTTGGAAAATAGCCGCAATGCCAGTCTGGAATCATCATCAGATTGCAGCTCAATGGAATCCTATGACAACGACATCAATGAATCCTATGAAAAGGAGGAGGAATTTGATTACCCCATCACAACAGTACCTGTTCACTTTGTACGCACCGAACAGGGTACCTTCTTTTGGACCTCAGCTGCTGACCTCGTTCCTGTTCATATGCAAGATCGTTGGGCCCAAGCTTAAATGCTGAAAACTTTATTCGCCTACCTATACAGATGTCTTCCAAATGCTAAGGAAATTTTAAACTGTTATAAGAATTCAACAAAAGAAGCTTTACAAAACTGTGATAATTTAAGAAAAAGATCGTATTTTCCAAGAAAATAATTTATTTTATAAGAAACAAAAAAAATGAAAACAAAATATAATTTTACATTTTTAAAATGAATTTTAAAGGAGTTTATCATTGGGGTATTTGGATGGGGTTTGGAAAACTATTATAGAATTTTCTATATTTTTTCAGGGGTTTCTTATAATCATAGGATTAAAAAGGGCAAAATTAAATCAAAAATGGATTACATAAATAGGAGATTAAAATCTAAAAACTTCTTGAATTAAAAAAAAAAACAGTAAGTTCTGCCGGCACGAACTTCGAATACCCTCCACCATTTAGAAAAAATTTGGAACTTTAAAAAATCCTTAAAAAATTCTGTTATAATTTTAAAAATACGAAATATAATGGCGTCTATACGATGTGGACCTACATAGGCATTGTTTGTCTTAAGCCATTACCATATTCAAATCCGAAACATGAAATAAACGGTGAATAACGCAGCTAAAATCATCAAAATTTCGTATATAGGGAGGTATCGTTATATCGTAGTTGTACGAAGTCCTGGACCAGCATAACAATTTTCAGTCATAGGCTGTAGTATCCATTACGAACTTCCAATACGATATCTCAAACAATTTCGGTGGGTATTGTACCTAAACTCGTCAAAATACCGAAAATAGGGAGGTACTGATATATGGGGCCTATACGAAGACCTAGACCTGCATTGACAATTTTCTATCACAGACTGTATCTTCCATTACGAACTCCTAATACGTAATTTGAAACAATTCCGTTGAATAATGACGCTAAAATCATCAAAATACCGAATATATGGAGGTACCGCTATATGGGGGCTATATGTAGACGTGGACCTGCACAGACAACTTTCTGTCTTAGGCTGTAGCATCCATTACGTACTTCAAATACGAAATTTGAAACAATTCCGGTTAAAAATTTCGCTAAAATCATCAAATACCGAATATAGGGAGGTACCGTTATATGGGGGCTATACGAAGATTTGGGCGTGCGTATGAAATTTTTAGGCATAGGCTGTAGTACCCATTACATACTTCGAATACAAAATTTGAAACAATTCCGGTAAATAATGTCGTTAAAATCATCAAAGTACCGAATAAATGGAAGTGCCGTTATAAGGGGGCTATATGCAGACGTGGACCTGCATATGAAATTTTTAGGCATGGGCTGAAGTACCCTTTACGAACTTTGAATACGAAATTTGAAACATTTCGGGTGAATGATGTCGTTAAACTTATCAAAATACCGAATATCGGGATGTACCGTTATAGGAGGACTATACGAAAACGTGGACCGACATGGCCCATGTACGAACTCAAGCTGACTACTGAGAAAATACACATGTGTGCGACATTTTAGCCTTCTATCTCAATTCGTTCGAAAGATAACGTAATTAGAAGGACAGACAAATAGACAGAGGGATAGGCAGACAAGCGGACATCGCAAAATCTTCTTAAAATTTTACGCTGTTCCAAGATATTCATGCTTCGTAGGGTCTATCGCGAATATTTCGAGATGTCACAAACGTAATGACAAAGCTAATATACCCTCCATATAATGGTGGAGGGTATAAACATAAGCATCTGATTCTTTCTTAAATTCAAGCATTTTAATATTTCTACTAACCCAATATCTGTCGTGAAGATGGTAGATATCAGCAAACCTCCCTCACAAAAAGGTTCAAAACTTTGAATAAGCGGAACGCATATAAAATTCGAAATATGTATTCGATTCTCTTCAAATGTCACTCATACCATTATTTTGAATCACACAGCAGAACCCCTCCCACAAAGGGTCAACAGTTTGAATAATCATAGCGCAAGTCAGAATATATTTAAACAAACGGACATTGGCTGAGAGCATGGTACTATAAGGAGGTATAACAGCTTCGTAAAACTACAGAAATACAGCCCTGAGGCTGTACCCACACTCTGTCAGACTCATTCAAAATACAAAGGGGTTTTGATTTTTTTTTTTCATATTTTTCTTCATTTTTAAAATTAATTAAATGGCGAGGAAAATGAATGAAATGCCTGGATTTTCGCTCAAAAATATGATCCAAATCTTTCAATTTCATGGCTAAACTGATTAATAGCTTTAATGCGCGAGCCGCAATCTACGTGTCTTCCAATCATTGGTTTAGAAAATATTTTGATTTCATTTTTCAAAACAATATATACATACATAAAATTGGCAGAAGTCGGACACAATTAGAAAAAAAAAAAAATGTAATCAGCTAGCAGCTCTACCATACCCTTGCACCATGTTTGAGAGTATATATCTGTCGGCAAAACCAATTAATTAATATTTTTTTATTTATTTTCTTCTATTTCGGACTATCGGACAAATAATAATTGATGTTTATTTATTTTTTGTTTATTTTTTATTATTTTTATTTATTTATTTTTTTTTATTCTTTTTTTTTTTTTTTTTGATGCAAAATTCTTGAAATGCCGAATTAATTGTCTTGATATTTTAATTATTATTTATTTAATTATTTTCATGTTGGAATATTTCATGTGTTCCTCCTCAAACATTGAATTTCCCTACGCTACTGCCGCCACAGCTGATTCAATCTACTCCGAAGTTAGCTGCAGTTGTTTGCTTCTCTCGCACATTCGCACCACTCTCCTTGCCTAAAAAAACATTCCACCAGCTGTCAAATAGACCAACAAAAGACGAAGAAGCAAAGGCATACACACACATTTTCCTCAACTCGCAAAGCAAATGAAAAACCTCAACTCTGTGAAAAATTGTGAAAATATTTATTGGAAATTGTACAAATTGCAAAATTCGAAATAAAAAATATCAATGTGCTCCGCATCGAGCACTCGCGCCGTGTGGAAGTGAATGCAAAGAATAAAGTGAAACCCAATAAAATCCAATTGAAAATTACGCGTCATAGTCAAAAATCTGTTCTGTATATACCTACCTATCTATACACATCCGTTTGGTTAAATTTCTTCACAATCTGTTTTTTTTTCTTGTGGAGAAGAATTGTTGATTTAATAGTTTTGGAAAAAAATGTTATAAAAATCAAAGATTAAAAAATGGCCACACAAAAACCCGGAGAATGGGCCAATTCGTTGCTGGCCCGTTTTGAAGATCAGGTAATTTTGCAAATTCGAAGAAAAAAGTCTTCAGCCATCATCATCACCATCAACGCTTCTTGGATCCTCCCAAAATTTTTTTTTGGTTGTATAGCAGCAGCCAGCAGTTGAAGAACGCAAAAAAAGTTGACAGCTCTCGTCGTCCCTCAAATCGATTGAAAAAATACATTTTGTGCGAATGCGACGCAAGATGTGTGTAAGCGAGATGGGGCAACCAAATGTTTATTGTTTTGGGATATTTTTTGTTTACGTTTGGCGGTGTGAAGGAATTTCATGAATGAAAAGTCCCAGAATTTATGAATGAAATTTCACGTGTGTTTTGGGAAATTATGTGAGTGTTTTGCTATTTTCTCTCTCTCTCTCTCTGCTCTGCTCTCTCTTGACGAAGAACACACGATTTGTTTGTAAACAAACTGACGGTGCTCACACCAACACACAAACAGCTGTAACAGGTGAAAAGGGAATTTTTCGTTGTTGTTGTTTTTTTTGTTGTGGTAATGACAGCCAGCTGTTGCAAAAATAAAAAGAAACTGTTGATTGTTAGAGAAAAAATTGGAATGAATCCAGGAGGATATTAAATGGTGTATTTTATGACTCTAGACCACAGGTGTTTAGCAGAGGGAAGCAGACTTATATATGTTCCTGTGTAAAATGTGAATGATAATTGTCCGATATAGGCATCTGTTTGCCGAAGTTTTCTTTAAGCTCGCCAAACTTCAAATTTCCACCAATGTTAAGAAAAACAAGTGAATAAGTATCAGTCGGTTTTGAGATTATTTAAATATATTTTGTTCTCTGTTATGATTATTCAAATATTTGACCCTCTATGGAGGAGATTCTGAAGGAATTTGACAATATTGTCCATTTCGTATCGGACCTAAATAAATATGATATAAATATTGCGACGTGCCTGGTTTAGACTATATCGACTACGTCCTTGGAGATATGTGAGAATTTTTAGAAATTTTAAAATATAGTCGACCGAAGTATGTATTCCATTTTCATGCCTCATTTAAAACAAATAAAAATAATGGTATGGGCAAAATTATAAGCAAATCGAACATTTATATCCAATTTTATGCGAAATCATAAATTTCATATCCATCTCAGGTTTCTGGTTGAGAGAAATATGACTTGTTTCGCAAGTTATGACTGATAAAGTATTGAACATTGGACCATTTGTGGGTGAGGTATCAGAAGGCGCTCGCAGATATATATCATATTCACAAAAGATCTTGCGTTAGCAAAAATGTTTGGAAGATTGTGAAATTTGAAGAGAGTTCGATGCGTATTTTGCCTTTGAGCGTTACGTTTTTCAAAATCTTTAACCCTATGTGGGAGAGGTACCAGAAAAAATGGTCCAATCTCTACCATCTTTACAACAGGACTTGTGTTGATGGAAATATTGAGATGTACTATGTCTGAATGGAATCGGATGTTAATTTCGCGTTTCATGAGCTTCATGGATATTTAAAATTTTGAGCCTTTGTGGGGGAGGTACCAGAAAGATTGGACCGATACATCACGTCTTCACAGCATATATTATATTCGTTAAAATATTGAGATGTGTGAAATATAAAAAGAACCGGTTGCTTTTTTCGGATTTTATAATCGTTTTGGTTATTCAAAACATTGGCTCTTTGTGGGATACGTAGCAGAAGAAATGGTTCGATCTCTACCATCTTTATAAAAGATCTTGTGTTGATGAAAGTATTGAGGTGCACCAAGTCTGAATGGAATCGGATGTTAATTTCCCGTATTATGGGCTTTATGGATATTTAAAAATTTGACCCATTGTTGGGGAGATAACGGAAGGAGTGGACCAATATGTCCCATCTTCACAGCCGTTCTTGTGTTAATACAAATATTGGGATGTGTGAAATATAAAAAGAACCGGTTGCTTATTTCAGATTTTATAATCGTTTTGGTTATTCAAAACATTGGCCCTTTGTGGGGCAGGTACCAGAAGAAATGGTCCGATCTCTACCATCTTTAACATATCTTGTGTTAATGGAAATATTAAGTTGTACTAAGTCTGAATGGAATCGGATGTTAATTTCACCTTTCATGAGCTTCATAGGTATTCAAAATGTTGACCTTTTGTGGGGGAGATACCAGAAAGAGTGGACCCATCATCACAGCCGATCTTGTGTTAGTAGAAATAATAGTAGGTGCGAAGTATGAAGAGAACCGAATGCTCATTTCCCATTTTAAAATCATTTTGGTTATTCAAAACTTGGTGCCCTCTGTGGGGGGTACCACAAGGAATGGTCCGATCTCTACCATCTTTACAACAGATCTTGTGTTAATGAATAGAAATATTGAGATGTGCCAAGTCTAAATAGAATCGGATGTTAATTTCGCTTTATATGGGCTTCATGGGTATTCGAAATGTTTACCCATTTGTGGGGGAGGTACCACAAGGAGCGGATCGATATATTCCATCTTCACCCGAGACTTTGGGTGGTAAAAATATTGTGATGTGTGTAATTTGAAGACAATAAGACACTTATATCACATTTTATTAGATTTATATATGTTCAAAATATTGATCCTTCGGTCGGAGGTACTTGTTGGAGTGGACCGATATTGTCCATTTTCGCACCTGACACTGATGGAAATATTAGGATTTGCAAAAATGAAGCAAAATCGGATTGTTATATCCCTTTTTGTGCAGTAATTTTTTTTGTGAAAATTTTGGACTTTTTTGGGGGAGGTATCAGAAGGAGTGGACCAATATTGCTCATCTCCGTCTCGATCTAAGTTTGATAATAATATTACGATGTACCAAGTTTGGACCAAATCGTATACTTTCTTCGAGAGTTATCGTGCGCACCAGCCAGCTGACAGACAGAAGGACGGACGGAAATCGCTAGATCGATTCCAAATGTCCTGAATTTGGTCCAAAGTGATCTGAGATCTAAAATCGTTATTTCGATGAGGCACGTTTTGGCCGTATCAAATGATACCCTCTCTAGCCAGGGCATAAAAGTCATAGAAGCTAATTCGAAACAACTATAATTCCGCTTGCCCGCCCCTGGCTATTTCCGTGGCTTTATGTTATTTTTGACGTGTCGAAGAAACCGCAAAGACAGCAATCTTTGTCATAAATACACAAATATCAGAAACTCATTAAATGAAATTTATAAATTGAAATATAAAATTATAGCACTGTGGATTCGAAAAGCAGTTCGACAAGATTTTGTGGTCACATAAAAAGGGACTAAAAATGAAGATGACTCACAAAAAATCGATAGCACTTGCCTCTGTCGATTCTAAAAAAATTAAAATTGCTGTAGGAGCTTCTGTTGATTTTAATGTTTTTATACCCTCAGCGATATGGCTAGAGAGGGCATATACAATTTGAAACGTGCCTTACCGAAATAACGGTTTTAGACCCTATGTCTCTTGGATCAAATCCGTTTCAGGACGTAGAGATATCCGTCCGTTCGTCTGTCTGGCCATTCCTTCTGTTACCTCCCCTACAAAGGGTGAAGTATGAAAATGAAATACTTCGGTCGACTATATATATTTCAGCATTTTCTAAATATTATTATCACATATCTCATATAAAGTGAAGGAAGTACCCAATATAGTCCAAACCTGGCATGTCGCAATATTTATATCATATTTATTTAGTTCCGATACGAAATGGACAATATTGGCCCATTCCTTCGGAACCAACTCCATAGAGGATCCTCAATTTTGGTTGATTCCTACTTGTTTTAAGAGCCAAATTATTGACCCAATTTGGGGGAGGTACTAGAAGGAGTCAACCAATATTTCCTATCTTTGAACTTGATATTAGCTTGATAATAATATTAGGATGTGTCATGTTTGGACAAAATCGAGTACTCCTTTCGAGAGTTATGATGTGCACCAGTCAGCCAGACGGAGGAACGGACTCCCCTAGATCTCCTCCAAATGTCTTGAAACGGATTTTGTCCAAAGAGAGAACCAAAGAGATCTAGGGTCTAAAACAGTTATTTTGACGAGGGGCGTTTTGGCCGTATTAAATGATATATGGCTTCCGTATCTATATGGCTTAGGGAATAAAAACCGATTAAAAAACTTGTCCCTTGGACAAAAAATCATTAGAAATGCACAAAAACTCCCTGAAAAATTTTAAAAAATCAACACGGAAAGTGTTAAAAAATCTTAAAATACTAAATTATGGTTCTGCTACTCCTTGAAAAATGTATCCTTTAAAAACCGCAATCATATGTCTGATGGTCCTTTGAAAAAGCTTCGACAAATATCAAAAAAAAAAAAAATCTTGAAAAACTCAAGACCATATCTCTGTTGGTTCTTGGGAAAATCTACTTTTGTAGCTCTGAAGGTTCCTTGGAAGAATATTTAAAACCCCGGTGATATTATATATGATAGCCCTAAGTTAGATGATCCCTTGGAAAACTCTCTCAGAGACAATGATTATGACTTTGATTTCTCTTGAAAATATTCTTCGAAGAATCCAAATGTATGGCCCAGATGCCCTTTTTTAAAAATCCATCTAGAAAACTTTGGTGGTCCTTTGGCAAAGTTCTTTAAAGTCTCACAATTAGAGTTGAGTTGAGTTCCAAGGGGCCAGAAAAATTCTTTGGAAATCCACTTTTACAGTTCTGGTAGTCCTTTCGAAATTTTATTTTAAAAATCCCCGATGATGCCTTGGAAAAAATACTTCAAACACACAAGATTACTGAGCCTTGATGCCTTAATAACCCTTACAGATCCTTGAATGTAGCCTTGATTGTCATTTGGAAAAAATCTACAAAGGATTCACTATTATGACAGTTGTAAACCTTTCGAAAATCTATCCAAAAATCTAATATTATGTCTGTGAGAGTCTTTTGGAAAAATACGTGGAAAGTTACGCATTTTTGAAAAATTATCTTAAAACCTCCTTGTCCTTTGAGAAAATATGTCATTGGGAATAAAATCTTAAAAATCCATCAGCCTTTATATTTCCTTAAAATTTTTAATATTTATAGATCTGTTTGCATCTTGGAAAAAAAAAAAAACACTTAAAAATCCACGATTTCAGTTCGGCAGATCCTTAAAGAAAACTCTTATTCACAAAAATAATATTTTCCATTACCCATGTATCTTTTCAGCTTCCCAACAAAACAAATGGTCCACATGGCACCCAGGCTCGCATGAGCCAGGATCAATTGGTGAATTGTTTGATTCACATATCGCGGTATCGCTTCTCTTTGGTGATATCGGGTCTAACGAAAATATTACAACGAGTTAATGAAGCGGTAATTACCAATACTTCCCCTCTCCGGATAATTTTTTTAACGTTTTATCAACTATTTTCCCACAGGCCATACAAAATCGCCACGAGACCGATCGTTATTACTTCGAATCTCTTGTTATCATCCTAACCACACTGGAGAGATGTCTAACCAATCAGACAAAGGACACAGCACGCTTCGAAGAGGCGATGAATGTAAAGTTGCTGCTACGCGAAATCACCCAATTTATCGATGTCCAGAGTGATAGTAACCCGAATGCCGCCCAATTGAAAATTCTGGCATCCAAAGTATTGTTTGCCCTCTCGCAGAATCATTTCTCGGCCGTATTCAATCGTATCTCGGCTCGTATCCAAGAATTGGCGGCATGTTCGGATGAGAATCCTGATTATTCGGATATTGAGTTGATACAACACATCGACATGGATATGACCAAGTTGACGAAGTTGCTGCAGGAGACAATAACGAAATTTCGTTCGAAGAGGGCACCGCCTTTGATACTTTTAAATTCCATTGAGAAGGCCATATGGAATTGGATTGAATATCATCCGCAGGAGTTTCAGGATTTGCAGAGGGGCATGAATCGGGATATATCAACGTGAGTTGAGATTGTGAATTAATTTCAGGGGGCATCAATGATTTCATTTCTTTCCCCGTTTAGATGCTGGGAGCCGTTGCTGGATTTCGTGGAGGCCTATAAGGCCGAGAACAAAAAGAGCAAGACCACTGTCTGGCCTCTGCAAATGTTGTTGCTAATTTTAAATCCGGTAAGTTTTTCTTTAAAAAACACATTACACCCTTTTAATGTCCTTCCCCTCCTGTTTTTAGGCCTGCCTGGAAGCCACCGTCAATGAGCTGCAGCAATGTGAAAAGGAAAAGGACAAAATGGCCTCCAAGACGCAGTCGCGAGACAAAGATTTCTCGGCCAAACAATTTATTGAGAGTGTCAAACGTGGCCTGGGTCCTCACTCCCCCTCGAAACTGGTCACCGAATCAGCGGCCATAGCCTGTGTAAAACTATGCAAAGCTGCCACCTATGTGAATATCAACGATTCGAACAACGTCATCTTTAAATTGGTGCAATACATAATCAACGACATCAAGGCTTTGCTGTTCAATCCCGTCAAGCCCTTCTCCAGGGGCCAGGGTTACAATTTTGCCGATATAGAGTTAATGATTGATTGTTGGGTTTCCTGTTTTCGCATTAATCCCCATAACATAGAGGCTTTGAAGGTATGCCTGAATCTGAATTCGCCGCAGGCCTATCATTTTGTTATTGTTTGTTCGTTACTGAGGTAAGGGATTCCGATTCTTAATCCTAATTTCTTTCACTAAATCATTACCATTCCAGGCTGGCCCACATCTATGTTGACTTTAGATTACAGAATAAAAACCCTTTCCGGGTGGTAAATCAACCACGTCTGCCCTGGTGGCCTCAAACGGATGTGGTACACTATCGGTCGGCCGAGATGAGAGCTCTCTTCACCGATACCCTTAACAAGGCCACCCAGGGCTATATAGCCCACACACCGCTGAGAATGATTACCTCTTTGACATTGAAAACCAAAGATACGCAAAAAGTTTTGGCCCGTTCTGAGGAGGGGCCAGCCCATAAAATGTTATTGTTGTTGTTAGTACGTTTAATACATGCCGATCCCACCTTATTGTTAAATGTAAGTTCAGCGCCCAAACACCCATCGGAATTAAATCTAAATTGCATTCTTTTATTTTCCAGACCCAGGGCAAAGTAGCACACGAAGTACAAAGTTCAACTCTCGAACTCATCAATGGTCTTGTTAGTTTGGTTCATCAACCGTCCATGCCAGATGTGGCCCAGGAGGCCATGGAAGCCCTGCTGGCTTTACATGCACCCGAAAAAATCGAAGTTTGGAATCCAGAGGCTCCCATTAATACGTTTTGGGATGTCAGCTCCCAGGTCTTGTTTTCCATTTCACAAAAGTTAATCCAACATCAAATAGCCAACTATACCGATGTCCTGAAGTGGTTACGTGAAATCTTGATATGTCGCAACACCTTCTTGCAAAGGCACAAGGATTATGCCCATGTCGGAAGTCAAATAGCCATCTGTAAACAGGCTCACATTAAATTGGAGGTGGTATTTTTTATGTATCTCTGGTCAGTGGATTTGGATGCGGTGCTGACATCATTGTCCTGTTTTGGTTTGTTGTGTGAAGAGGCTGAGATATGTTGCGGCTCGGATGAATTGACGGTGTCAATGCTTGTGCCGAACTATATGATCTATCAGGAATTGGCTCAACTGTCATCGGGTAAGGATATGATAGTTGTATTGGGAGGGCTTTTTAAAAAGGTCTTCTATTGCCCATAGGATATTTGTGGTCTTCTATTGTCAATAGCAGACCCTGAGGTCATATATGGTCTATAGGAGACGTCGAAGTCTTCTATTGTCTATAGAAGACTTGAAGGTCTTCTACGTCTATGCAAGACCTGGAGGTCTTCTATTATCTATAGGTGACCTTGAGGTCTTGAGGTCCATAGGAGACCTTGAGGTCTTCTATTGTTAATAGGAGGCCTTGAGGTCTTCTAATGTTTATAGGAGACCTTGAGATCTTCTATTGTCCATAAGAGATCTTGAGATTTTCTATTGGTTATAGGAGACCTTAAGGTCTTCTATTGTCTATAGGAGAACTTGAGGTCTCCTGTACCTTGAGGTCTTCTATACGTCTATACAAGACCTGGAGGTCTTCTATCGTCTATAGAAGACCTGGAGGTCGTCTGGAGGAGGTCTTCTATTATCTATAGGGGACCTTGAGGTCTTCTATTGCTTATAAGAGACCTTCAGGTCTTCTATTGTCCATAGGAGACCTTGAGGTCTTCTAATGTCTTTAGGAGACCTTGAGGTCTTCTATTGTCGATATGAGAACTTGAGACCTTGGGGCTTATAGATGGTTTTGAGGTCTTCAATGGCTTATATATGACCTTGAGGTTTTCCATGGCCTATAGAGGTCTTCCGTGGTCTGTGGAAGAGCTTGAGGCTTATACATGACTTTAAGGTCTTCAATGGCTTATATATGACCTTGAGGTGTTCCTTTGCCTATAGAAGGCCTTGAGGTGTTCCAATGGTCCATAAAAAACCTTGTGGTCTTCCAGGGCCTATTGGCTGAGGTCTTATTTTGACTTTATGAGAAATTAAGGAGACTTTTTGGAACTATTTTTGCTCTAGAAGACGTTGAGGTCTTCCATTTTTTATAGGGGACACTGAGATCTCTACAGGAACATGCCAAGTTTTAAACGTAATTTATTCTCCTTCCTTTCAGCTGCCACGGATTCCCGTATTTGTTTCTACGATAACAGTCATGGCAACGTTCTAAATCGGCTACACCTGCAAAAGCGCATTATGCAGCTGCTACGGAAGATTGAGCACTGTGTTCATGGTGTACAGCCTGCCTGGGAGGAGACTTTTAGGTACCTTACTTACCACACTATATAATATCTGTTATTAATTCTCCATATTTCTCTCCTCTTCCAGAAATTGGGAAATCATGAGTAAAATGCTGCAAACCTACCCGAAGTGTAAAACCGAAGACGGCCAAGCAGAGCTGTTCCATCGCGGCGTGGGAAAACGCCGAGCCAGCCATCAAAGTTCCGAACATGATATTGAGGAGCAAATAACAGAATGGGCCAACATGACATGGTTTCTGCTGGCCTTGGGTGGTGTTTGTTTAATTAAACGTCGCCAACAAGCTGTGGCAGCCCAGGCTTCACAGTTATCCCTAGCCCATCAGGCTCCCTTTCATCCATATTCCCAAAGTTTTGGTTCACTGCAACAGAATCTGCCGCCCCAGGTCCATATACATCAGGGTTCGATTAGTTCATTGGCACAAAATTCCCTGCATTCGCTGTCCAGTTCATCCAGTTCGGGTAGGGGTTCGTTGAATCCGAATTCAATTTCCTTGGCCGGAGTGCCACAGGGTCCACAGCAGGAGGTGCAATATTGTCCGGTGACACAGTAAGTTGGAAAAAATCCATTTTCCCTATTCCCTATGTTACCTTGGAAAATTCTCCCTTTCAGATTCATTGGGCAACTTTTGAGGCTCTTGGTTTGCAGCAATGAAAAAATCGGTTTGAACATCCAAAAGAATGTCAAAGAGCTGGTGGGCGAAGAAATGTCCACCTACCTTTATCCCATCCTGTTTGATCAGATACGTTCGATTGTTGAGAAATTTTTCGATCAACATGGCCAGGTCAATGTCACGGATATCAATACCCAATTCATCGAACACATTATCTACATTATGAAATCGATTTTGGATCCCAAACCGAGTAAAGATCCCAACAATGACCAACCATCGACGGCGGAAAATTTGGGTGTGACCAGCATCGAAGGTATGATGTTGGGTATTGTGCGCTATGTGAGACATTTGGATATGACGGTCTATGCCATACGGATAAAAACCAAGCTCTGCCAATTGGTGGAGGTTATGATGAAACGACGGGATGATTTGGCATTTAGACAGGAAATGAAATTTCGTAATAAATTGGTGGAGTACCTGTCGGATTGGGTTATGGGCACCTCACATCAAATTGCACCGCCCAGTTCAACAGATCCTTCGATGATTACCAAGTAAGGGGATACAATTTTCCCGGAATATAAGAGATCATTAATTTGGATTTTCTTTTCCAGTACCTCTTTGATTTTCCGTGACTTGGATCAGGCCTGCATGGAGGCAGTGGCTGCCTTGCTAAGAGGTCTACCCCTACAACCTGAAGAATCTGATCGTGGCGACTTGATGGATGCCAAGAGTGCCCTCTTTCTCAAGTAATTTATCTCGGAGGAGTAACTTTTCCTTTAGAGCTAACCATGGTCCCTTCTTTTTACCCCGCAGATACTTTACCTTATTTATGAATCTCTTGAACGATTGCATCGACAGCTCCGAGGCTGAAAAGGAGCTCAACAATCCCCCACTGCTACCACCTCGCCCCCGTTTAGCTGCTGGCAAACTAACGGCCTTACGCAATGCCACCATACAGGCCATGTCGAATTTGTTGGGAGCCAATATCGATTCGGGGCTAATGCACTCAATTGATCTGGGCTATAATCCGGATTTACAAACTCGGGCGGCTTTCATGGAAGTCCTAACACAAATCTTGCAACAAGGTACCGAATTCGATACTTTGGCTGAAACCGTTTTGGCAGATCGTTTTGAACAGCTAGTTCAGCTGGTCACCATGATCAGTGATAAGGGAGAGCTACCCATTGCCATGGCTTTGGCAAATGTGGTGACCACATCGCAAATGGATGAATTGGCTAGGGTGCTGGTAACCCTATTTGATGCTAAGCATTTACTCTCACCCCTTTTGTGGAATATGTTCTATCGTGAAGTGGAGGTGTCGGATTGTATGCAGACCCTGTTTCGTGGAAATTCGCTGGGCAGCAAAATAATGGCATTTTGTTTTAAAATTTATGGGTCGGCATATTTGCAATTGTTGCTGGAACCGTTGATAAGGCCTCTACTGGATAATCCAAATACATCGTTTGAAGTGGATCCGGCTAGGTAAGGGGGTTCTGTGATATTTAATAGCAGATGCTACGGCTGTAGCCATTCTAGACCGAACTGAGAGACAACCGAGTAATATTTACCCTTTTCTATTCCAGACTCGACCCAGGCGATGATTTAGATGTGAATCGCCGCAATTTGATAGCCTTGACGAAAAAGGTCTTTGATGCCATTACAAATTCAGTCGATCGTTTTCCACCCCAGCTGAGATCTATGTGCCATTGCCTTTATCAGGTGCTCAGTAAAAGGTTTCCCAATTTATTGCAGAACAATATTGGAGCTGTGGGCACCGTAATCTTCCTGCGCTTCATAAATCCCGCTATTGGTAAGTAAAGAACGACAACAATTTTGAAATGAGTTCAGACGGAAATCCACGATTGAGGTCTTCTGTTGTCTATAGCTGACCTTAAGGTGTCTATAGGAGACCTTGAGGTGGTCTATTGTCTATAGGAGACCCTGAGGTCTTCTATTGTCTATGGGAGACTCTGAGGTTTTCTGTTGTCTATAAGAGACCCTGAAGTCTTCTATTGTTTATAGGACACCTTGACTGTCTATAGGAGATCCTGAGCTCTTCTATGGTCTATAGGAGACCCTGAGATCTTCTATGGTCTATAGGAGATCCTGAGATCTTCTAATGTCTATAGAGACCTTGATGTCTTCTATCGTCTATAAGATACCTTGAGGTCTTCTATCGTCTACAGGAGACCTTGAGGTCTTCTATAGTATTTAGGCGACCTTGAGGACTTCTATCGTCTATAGAAGACCTCGAGGTCTCCTGTCGTCTATAGGCTTTTCATGGTAAATAGAATACCTTGAGTTCGTCCATGGACTATAGAAGACCTTTAGATCCTCCATGGTCTGAAGAAGACATTGAGGTCTTCAATGGCCTTTAGAAGACTTGCGTGGCCTATAGAAGTCCTTGAGGTCCTCCATAGTTTAAAAAAGACCTTGAGGTCTTCCATGGTCTATAGAAGATCTTGAGGTTGCCCAAGGTCTACAGAAGACCTTGAGGTCTCCCATGTTCCATAAAAGTCTTTAAGGTCTTCCAATTGAACACCTTGAGGTATTCCATGGCCTAAAGAAGACATTCAAGACACATTTTCCATAGTCTATAGAAAACCTTGAGATCTTCCATGGTCTTTAGAACACCTTCCATGGCCTATAGTAAATTCTGGGGTCTTTCATGGCCTATAGAAGACTCTATCTTCTTTCATGACATATAGAAGAACTTGGGACCTTCCACGGTCGAAAAAATACATTAAGGTATTCCTAGGCCTATAGAAGACCTTCAGGATTTCCTCAAGGTCTTTTATGCCCTATAAAATACCTTGAGAAAATACCGCCATGACAAATTTTAAAACCTTTGCTATTATTTATTTCTCTTCCCCTTCAGTCTCCCCCCAAGAACTGGGCATTGTTGGCAAACAGGTGCCGAGCACCGTGAAACGTGGCCTCATGTTGATGTCGAAAATCCTGCAAAATATTGCCAATCACGTTGAATTCTCCAAGGAACAGCATATGTTGTGTTTCAATGATTTTCTGCGGGAGCATTTTGAGGCTGGGCGGCGATTCTTCATACAAATTGCGTCGGATTGTGAGACTGTAGATCAAACCTCGCATAGCATGAGCTTTATATCGGATGCCAATGTTTTGGCTTTGCATCGGTTGCTGTGGACACATCAGGAGAAAATCGGCGATTATTTGTCAAGTAGCCGGGATCACAAGGCCGTGGGAAGAAGACCGTTCGATAAAATGGCAACGCTGTTGGCGTATTTGGGACCACCCGAGCACAAGCCCGTCGATTCACAGTGAGTCGGGGAATATGCTTTGAAATATCCATTTTTAATTGCTTTGTTTTTATCTTTCTAGCATGATGTTCTCTTCCTATCCCCGCTGGAGCTCCATTGATATGTCCTCGACAAATTTCGAGGAAATCATGGTTAAACATCAAATGCATGAAAAGGAGGAATTCAAGGCCCTTAAGGCCATGAATATTTTCTATCAGGCGGGTACCAGCAAACTGGGTTATCCGGTGTTCTATTACATAGCCAGGAGATATAAGTGCGTAGAAGTTATACCTCATCTCTCATTTCAAATTGGGAATCATTTATTTTGTCTTCATTCCAGAATTGGTGAAACAAATGGCGATCTTTTGATTTATCATGTCATCTTGACATTGAAGCCCTTTTGCCATTCCACCTTCGAGGTAGTCATTGATTTCACCCATGTCAACTCGGATAATCGGTTCCGCACAGAATTCTTGCAAAAATGGTTCTATGTATTGCCGGCGGTGGCCTATGAAAATGTCCATGCGGTCTATATTTACAATTGCAACTCTTGGGTGAGAGAATATACCAAGTTCCATGACCGGATATTGGCACCATTGAAGGTAAGCAGGAACAACTTATTCCCCTATTTCAGGGCTCTATTTATCCAATTTTCCACGATTTCCAGGGCAATCGCAAATTAATGTTCTTGGACTTGCCCAACAAACTGAATGACTACATCGACCCGGATCAACAAAAACTGCCCGGTGCCACATTGTCTTTGGATGAAGATCTCAAGGTGTTCAGTAATGCCTTGAAGTTGAGCCACAAGGATACCAAGGTGGCCATCAAAGTTGGTCCCACCGCTTTGCAAATAACCTCGGCGGAAAAGACCAAAGTCTTAGCCCACTCCGTGCTGCTGAATGATGTCTACTATGCCTCGGAAATCGAAGAAGTATGCCTGGTCGATGACAACCAATTCACCCTGTCCATTGCCAACGAGAGCGGTCAATTAAGTTTCATACACAACGATTGTGACAACATTGTCCAGGCCATTATACACATACGCAACCGTTGGGAGCTGAGTCAACCGGATTCGGTGACGGTGCACCAGAAGATCAGACCCAAGGATGTACCGGGAACTCTGCTAAATATGGCCCTACTTAATTTGGGTTCAGCTGATCCGAATTTACGTACAGCGGCCTATAACTTGCTGTGCGCCCTGACGGGAACGTTTGATTTGAAAATTGAGGGTCAACTCCTGGAGACTCAGGGTCTGTGCATTCCCTCCAACAACACCATTTTCATTAAATCGGTCAGCGAAAAACTGGCCACAAATGAACCGCATCTGACATTGGAGTTCCTTGAGGAATGTATCCAGGGCTTCCAGCGCAGTACCATCGAATTGAAACATTTATGTTTGGAATACATGACTCCATGGCTCAAGAATCTGGTGAAATTTTGCAAATCCAACGATGATGCCAAGAAGGTGAAGGTCTCTCAAATTCTGGATAAACTTATCTGCCTGACCATCGAACAAAAGGAAATGTATCCCTCGGTGCAGGCGAAGATATGGGGTTCCATTGGCCAAATTCCGGAACTTATTGACATGGTGCTGGATAACTTCCTCTACAAATCTGTTTTTTATGGCCTGGGATCGCCTCAGGTGGAGATTATGGCCGACACCGCTGTGGCTTTGGCCTCGGCCAATGTCCAGCTGGTTTCGAAGAAAGTCATTACCCGCATGTGTCGTGTCATGGACAAGACCTGTACCAGCCCTCTGCCCTGCCTGGAAAACCACCAGACATGGGATGACATTGCCATATTGGGTCGTTACTTACTTATGTTGTCGTTCAACAATTGCCTCGATGTGGCCACCCATTTACCCTATCTTTTTCACACCATCACCCTACTAGTCTGCTCGGGATCGCTCTCGATGAGGGCCTCCACCCATGGTTTAGTTATAAATATTATACATTCATTGTGTACCTGTACCAAGCCGATTTTCTCCGAAGAGGCCCAGCGTGTCTTGCGTCTGTCCTTGGATGAATTCTCGCTGCCCAAATTCTATTTACTCTTTGGCATTAGCAAGGTGAAATCGGCTGCTGTCACTGCATTCCGTTCGAGTTGTCGCCATCCACCGGACAAGTGGTTGGGCAATGAACGGGTTTCGCAAAATTTGCCACCCGATAGAGAACGTCTCTCGCTACCGTCCCTGGAAGTAATTACCGATGCATTGCTTGAAATAATGGAGTCATGTATGAGGGATATTCCCGATTGTCAATGGCTGCAGACATGGACGGCCTTGGCAAGGAATTTTGCCTTCGCCTTTAATCCAGCCTTACAGCCAAGGGCGTTGATTGTATTCGGCTGCATCAGTAAAAGTGTAACCGATCAGGAGGTAAAGGAGTTGCTAAAGGAACTAGTCAAGGCTGTGGAGGCTTTTACTGATATTACACTGATTGAGGCCATTGTTATGTGTCTGACACGTATCCAGCCTCTTTTGAGGCCGGTAAGTAATGGAATTCTTAAAAAAAATGGGAAAGTGTGGGGTCAATTATTTCCGAATTATTTTTAGGATTCTCCCATACATCGCAATCTCTTTTGGGTGGCCATTTCTGTTCTGCAACTGGATGAGGCTAATTTATATGGAGCCGGCCTGGCATTGCTGGAACAAAATCTGCATACCCTCAAGTCTCAGGGCTGTTTCGATAATGCCCATTTGGCAGAGGTAATGATGGGTACCCGAGAAAAACTGGAATACCATTTCAAGCAGCTGGATCATGCTGTGGGTCTTTCGTTCCGCAGTAATTTCCATTTTGCTTTGGTGGGACATTTGATCAAGGTGGGTAACCTCCCGACACCATCTGACATTAAATGATTTCAATTGCATTTCTTTGTTATTCTAGGGTTTTCGCCACCCCACTCCCACCACAGTGTCACGCACCTCCCGCATTTTGACGATTCTTTTGGGCATCATTGCCAAACCCTGTAGGCGTGATAAATTCGAGGTAACACCCGATAGTGTGGCATATCTAACTGCCTTGGTGGCGGTTTCGGAAGAGGTTCGTTCCAGATGTCATGTCAAACATGCTCTACCCCGTTGGCCTGCCGAGATGCCCACAGAAAATGGCAGTGGTGGTGGTGGAGCCACAGATCAGGCAGCCACCACAAATGGCACACAGAATGTAAGCAAAACCCCTAGATCTAACTGAAATTGGGAACTAATTACTATCCCCACTCATATGGTGTGCTTTTTTTCCAGCAGGGCAGCATGGCATTGTCGCGACGCCAGAAGTCCTGGGACATACTCGATCAATCGGCATTGAATTTGGCCCGTCATCATAAAGTACCTGCACCACCGGTAGGTTTCAACAATGGGGTTATATGTTATGGACCTCTATATATACATATACTATATATCCGATATATTTAACTATTACATATTCCTATTTTAGCTTCTTTGAAGTTGATATTTTATCGTGATATACTTTTGAATGTTTCGTTCTTTTGATAAACATAACTCCAGTAAGATTTGAGTGCGATTTGTGGCATGTGAGATTATGAAGAAGATAGATTCGGGAACCTGTTTGATAATTAACTCTATTCAAGATAGAAGAGCACCTGAGAGTCTTGTGGGATATGGTTTCAGAAAATTTCCAAATCTATTAAAATAGTGAAATGAGATTTTTTTTTGCCAAATGCTGTTGTGATCTTTGTCTCGGATGGGGCCAAAACTTGAATATATTTTTCCTCATGTAAAATCTACAATGGTTGATTCAGGAGCCTATCAAAGATTGTTGTAGCAGTTGGTACGGCTGTTCTCATCTGTCCTAATTTTGATTTTAAGTTCAAATTATATACCAAGACTTTTTGGTCCTCTACGGGAAGACTTTCTGGTCATCTATACGAAGACCTTCTGGTCTTTTATATGTATTTCTCCATGGGGAATAATGCATAGGTGGATTAGGTTTGACAAGCCATTAAACAGGACTAAAAGTTCCGCATTACGCCAATAACTCGAGACCAATATGGCTGAATCATTCTGGAGTCATCGAAAATTCGATCGATTTTTTTCGATATCAAGGAGAGAAAATTTGATATTACCCCAGTATTCTTAAATTATCTGCCAGATAGACGTATTTATCAGAATGTGTATTTTTATACCCTCCACCATTCTATGAAGGGTATATTAGCTTTGTCATTCCTCGTAAAATTCTGATAAGATTTAGCGATGTCCGTCTGTCTGTCAGTTCTATCGAACGAATTGAGATAGAAGGCTAAAATTGGGCACACATGTGTATTTTGCCAGAATGCAGGTTAAATTCGTAAATGTGCTATTTTGGTCCACGTTTTCGTATAGCTTCCATATAACAGAACCTCCCGATATTCGGTATTTTCATGATTTTAAGGATATTTTTCGTCGGAATTGTTTAAAACTTCGTATTTGAAGATCGTAATGGATAGTACAGTCTATGACAAGGTCCGCGTCTTCGTATAGCCCCCGTATAACGGGTTTTCTTTACGCGGTATTTTTCGGAATTTGTTGAAAATTTTCGAGTTTCTTCCAAATGGTGGAGGGCATTAAAAATTTGGCTCGGACTCGGACTTAGCTGATTTTTTACTTGTTTGTATCTACCTTTTTCCCTGAGGAGGTACTTACCATCTAAAGGCGAAGAATGTCTGTCCATAAAATGGGCGTTTAAGGACTAATATTTCATGGGAATCTTTTTGGGTTGACCCAAATATCGGACCTTTGAATCTCCATTTGAGTGGTTTATTGGCTCTATGAGGAGCCACTTCTCTGGCCGACGATTTGGTAGATTTGCATTCTTCTTCATTTTCTTTTTGATACCTTTGAGAGAACCCTATTGACAATCCATTGGTTAACACAAATTGGTTTAACGCTATAAAATAGGACGACTATTTCGAATCTTACATAGATAAAATGTAACCCATAGAACCACATTTTATCTCCATTATCGAGAGAGCTAATATATCTACTTTGTATCTGGTTTGTCCACACATTTTTAAACCCTCAGCCAGGGGCTTTATATCATTACATACGACCAAAACGTGCCTCATAGAAATAACGGTTTTAGGCCCTAGGCCACTTTAGACAAAATCTGTTTCAGGACATTTGGAGTCGATCTAGTGATGTCCGTCCGTCTGTCTGGCTTCCTGGCTGGTGCGCACGATAACTCTCGAAGGGAGTATCTGATTTGATCCAAACTAGGTATATCGTAATATTATTGTCAAACTTAGATCGAGTTCGGAAATTGACAATACCGGTCCACTCCATCAATTACTCTTATAAAATGTGATGAAAGTGTCAGATTGTCGTCAAATTACACACATCACAATATTTTTATTAACCCTAGGTCTGGTGTAAAGATGGGATATATCGGTTCACTCCTTCTGGTACCTCTCCCACAAAGGGTAAAATTTTTGAATATTCGTAAGACTCATAAAACGTGAAATTAACCTCCGATTCCATCCAGACTTGGCACATCTGAACATTTCTATCAACACAGGATTTGTTATAAATATGGTAGAGATCGGGCCATTCCTTCTGGTATCTCCACCACAAAGGATCAACGTTTCGAATAACCATTGCAATAATAAAATTCGGTTCTCATCATATTGCAGACATCCCATTATTTCTATTAACTGAAGATCTGCTGTGAAGATGGGATATATCGGACAACTCCTTCTGGTACCTCGCCCGCAAAGGGTCAACATTTTGAACGTCCATGAAGCTAATAAAACACGAAATTAACATCCGATTCCAAAATACATAATTTTTACATTTTTTTTTAATTTTTTGAATGAAAGCAAAACATGTCGGAAATAGTATCAAATTTTAGAATAAGTTTAGAATTTTTCGAGTTGAAATGAAACCATCACACGCTGCCCGAATATTGCTCTGCGGTATTTTGGCCCATTCCCGGTGAAGCGCTTGCTTGAGGTGATCGACACTTTGGTATTTTTTAGTGCCAACCTTGCTTTCCAAAATACACCAGACACAATAGTCCAACCGATTGGTATCCGGAGATTTTGGTGGCCATTGTGCGCTGGAAATGAAGCGAGGAACCTCATTTTGTAACCATTCTTGGGTGGCGCGTGCTGAGTGCGATGATGCTGAGTCCTGTTGGAATGTCTAAGGTCTGCGGCCGAAATCTTTGCGTGCCCAAGGCTTTAATATACCCTCTAGAATATTTTCGCGATAATATTCGGCATTTATTCCGATGCCACGGTCGATTAATACGAGCGGAGAGCGACCATCGACTGTTATGGCGGCCCACTCCATCACCATGGCCGGCGCTTGAGTGCCGGCGGCCAAGCGAAGGTGCACATTTTCAGCGGACAAGTAAGCACGATCATTTTGTTTGTTTACAATCTGCTGTGTAACGATTTTTTCTCATCGGAGAAAATCAAATTCGGTAGTTCACCACTTTCGGCCAAGCGAAGCAAATCTTTAGCTGTTTTGAGACTATTTTCTTTCTGGTGCTGTTGCGCTATAAGTTCTGGCACTTTTTGGAATTTCAATGGCTTTACCCCGAGCTCATTTTTCAATATTTGTCGAATGGAATATTGCGATATGTTCAGTTGACGAGCCATTTTTCGGCCACTGCGACGCGGCGGATTTCGTTCAAGTCGCTTCTTTACTTTTCGAACTATTTCTGCTGATGTTGATGTTTTCTTCCGTCCACTTTCTTGACGTCGGGCTGCGCTACCTGTAACACGGTAACAAGCGATGGTACGATACACAAAAGATTTATTCACATTTAAATGCTGGAGTGCTGCTCTAACCATAGCCACTTGTGGTTTTCCAGCCAAATATAAAGAAATCACACTATCACGCTTGAATTCCATCACGAATAACATTTTTGTCTGGAAAATTCTCACCAAAATGCTTTTGTACGCTTCTAAACAGTATAATGAGCTGTCACTGGAATAATTTTAACAGCTGTCGGGCGAGTGGCTTAGAAATGACAGCAGTCTGAAGTTGATTGCAGTTTTTTTTATTTCACCCTGTATATCAGCCAACCTCTTTCTTTTACCTCACCCCTTTGTAGGTGACAATTTCCAATACTTATACAGTGGTTTCTATTTACCTGCATCAACATTAGCTGCGCATTGGCCTTTGCAGACCAAAAAACTTTTTTATGCCATTTTTTTCTGAATCCCTTCATTTGAATTGTATTTAAGTGCCCAATCGATAGCTGCACATTGGACATTCCTGCCTCGAAAATTTTGTAATTTTTTTTTTAATTTGGTTACAAAAGTTGTATTTATCTGCACAAGAAATTTTTTTGCAAACTCAAAAAAGACACTAAGAACTACCACTTCGTTTTTGTTTTTGTATTCGCAAAAACAATAACAACACAAGAAAAGAGCATGCATCAAAAACATATTCTCGCTTCCTCTCCCACACTAAAAGATGGTTATGCTGGATAAAACACCACTGAACCGAATAGAAAATTAAAGATACCTGCACTTTTGTGCACGTAAGTAAAATTAAAGATACCTGCTTCATTGTGCAGATAAATGCAATGAAGCTACCTGCATTTTGGGCATTGCTGCACAAGATGTCGTGCATTTTTTGATTGTGCAGGTAAGCAAAAAATACTGTATCTGTCATAACATGCAGAACAAGCCGGCGATTTTTTACAACTTGCTGTTTCCAAATATCTCTCTTAACCAGAAATCTGATATGAAGATGTTATTTATCGGAATTTATGATTTCGCATAAAATTGGATATATATGTTCGATTTTCTTCAAATTTTACACATACCAATATTTTTATCTGTTTTAGATGAAGTATTAAAATGGAATTCTTCGGTCCGCTATACGTGTTACCTCACGCATATTTCCATATTTTTTCAAAAATTTGAAAATATCTCATATAAAGTATAGGAAGTAGTCTACAAGTCCAAATCTGGTACGTTTTGATATTTATATCAGTTTTAGGTCAGATATGAAATGGTCAATATTGGCCAACCATAAAGGGTCAACAGTTTGAATAATCATAACTCAAGACTGGGGGTATACATCTGTCGCCAAAACCGACTGATACTCTTTTACTTGTTATATCCCAAAACCGCTTATGCTCGATAGAAATTTTAAATTTTCTTGAATTATTTTTATACACAGATAGGTTATAGGCATATATTGGTTCCTGAATCTCTTCATAGTCTTACAAAATGCTCCTCTATATATTCAAAATTCATATTATTGCTTTTAACTAATTTATGATTTTCAATTTTTCGTTTTTTAAAGTAAATCTCTATAATAATCAAATTTCAATTTCTTCTTTTTTTAACTTATTCAAATTAAACCTTATTTTATTTAATCGTTAATCAAACCATTCCCTGTCTTTATATACATACGATAATGCCTGCTCTGATTGGTGTTGTTTTTATATATTCTGTTAAAAAAAATTGAAACAAAAATTTTGCATTTAATTCTATTCTTTCTCTCCATGTCTTCACCACTACCACCATCACAACTACCTCTTCTCACACCCACCAACCAATATCGTCATCGTGCCTAAATTTATTTTTCTATCATTTTCTAAATTATATAATTATACTTTTTTGTTTTTATTGCATGCCCCGATAAATCCAAAAAAATTCTACTCCTCTGTCTCCTCCTCTCATTTGGGTTTTGTTTGTGTTGTGTGAACTCAAATATTTTTGCCAAAATCAAAATCGATGTTAACATATTTCTTGACTGAAGAATGCTCGAGTTTTATTCAAAACTCAACGCTCGTTTTCGGTACCCACCACCAAAGATCCAAATAATGCGAGTGGAATCGAAGAACGTCAGGTATAAAATAAACGAACATTTCTGTTATCAATACAACTTTCTTTCTTCCTACTTTCTTTTTTAGACTTTCCTCTTTACCTTTTTTATTTTTTACACTGTTTTCGGTTTTTAGTTGAACTTTACTTGTTGTTGTCTTTTGTTCTTGCAAACCATGCACCTTAGATTTAAGTAAAACTATTTTGAAAACACTTGAAGGGTAATACTTTATTATTTTCCGATTTAACACCTACTTCAGTAACAAGTTAATAGATTTTTTTAAATGTCCTTTTTCTCAAAAACATAACCTCACTAATGATCAATTTTGTATTTCCAAAAATTATACATCGAAATTAACGTTTACTGCGATTGAGGACTTGATATTTCCGAAATTGAAAACCAGCCTATAGATGATATTTTAGAAAAAAAATAATAATAATATCCGCAAATCGTTTCAAATTTGTGTTAACATCGACCATTGCTTCCTCCATATTCTCTCTCGAACAATGGAATTTCGAAGCAATTTATCCATGACCAATACCACAACTATTCATAGATGACCTGTTGGTCTCCTGAAGATCTTCTACGAGTCTTTTATCTATAGAAGAACTCTTGAGTGTTTTTAGCCTATAGAAGGCCTTTTGAGCATCTTCTATTTTAAGAGGTTTCTCTACTCCTAAATAGCAATTTTACCAAGACCAATACTACAACTATTCATGATTAACCTGATGGTCCCCAGAAGACCTTCTGCGAGTATTTTATTCATAGAAGAACTATTGAGTGTTTTTAGCCAATAGAAGGCCTACTACTATGGGCCTTCTGACAGTTTTTATACTGCCTTCTTGTGAGTATTCTTTCAACGGAAGACCATCTGAGAATCCTCTATCCTTAGAAAACTTTTGTTTACCGTTTACCCCCATCAGACGGCTTTCTGAGAGTCTTCTTTTCACAGAAGATTTTCTGCGACTCTTACATTCCTGGAAGACACTTGGAAAAAACGTTGATGTCTTTTATCCATCACAGACTTCCTAAAGACATTCTAGGCGTAGAATAGCTGCTAAGAAAATTCCATCCGTAGAAATCCTTAAATCTTATATTTTTAGATTTTTTTTAGGAATTTTAAATCCGACGGTCCTTTTTTACCTCTTGAGATTTCCTGAGAGCTTTCTTTCTGGGTAAGGCCTTCTAAAGGCCCTCTATCTCTCGAAGACTTCTAGAAGGTCTTAGAGAGACTTTTATTTATAGAAGGGTTTTATTCATTGAGGACCTCCTAATGAACTTTCGTTCGTACCTTTTAAGGAACGTAGATCCTTCTGCGGTTCTTCTTAGGGTCTTTTACCTGTATGAGTTTCAGGGTCCTCTTTTACATTCTGAGAGTGTTCTGAGGGGTTTGTTTCCAGAGAAGACCTTCTGAAGGCCTTCTATAACTCGAAGACTTCTGGAAGGCCTTAGAGTTACTTTTATGCATAGAAGGCTTCCTGAGTGGTTTTTATTCTTTAAAGACCTCCTAAGGAATATTCATTCGTACCTTCTAAGGAACGTAGATCCGCAGAAGTCCTTCTTAGGTTCTTTTATCAGAGTAAATTTTCAGGGTCCTCTTTTATCTTCTGAGAGTGTACTGAGGGTTTTTTTTTCCAGAGAAGGCCTTCTATACCTCGAAGACATCTGGAAGGCCTTAGTGTGATTTTTATTCGTAGAAAGTCTTTTGAGTGTTTTTTTTTTTCATCCATTAAAGATCTCTTAAGGAGGTCATTTCATTCGAACCTTCTAAGGAACGTAGATCAGCAGAAGATCTTTTTGGGGCCTTTTTCTGTATTAGTTTCCAGGGCTTTCTTTTTATTGAAGATCTTTTGAAGGCCTTCTATGCCTCGATTTTTAGAAGGCGAAGGAAGAGATGTATTCGTAGAAAGCCTCCTGAGGTCCATTGAAGACTACATAGGGTGAGCGTCTGAGGATACTTAGATAAAAGGCCATCGACGCTTAGAAGGTCATTTGAGGGTCTTACGTCCACAGGGGACCTTCCAAGGGTCATCTGTCTGTAAAAGACTTTTTCCCTGGAAGACTTTTGCAGATCTTCTATCACTTATATCTTTTGAAGGAATCCAGAGAGCTTTAAGGGCATCTGAGGGTATGGGTTCCTACTACATTTTCGGGCTTCTCATGCCTATAGAATAATCTCTGAGGGTTTTTTATGTATAGGGCACCCTCTAAATGTCCTATATCTAATGAAAACCCTCCGGGCCTTCTAAAAAATTAAAGGCTCTTCTATCTATAGACCCACTAACAGTCATCTATCCACAGCAAGATCTCTGAGGGTCGTAAAATCTATAGAAGTGCCTTTTATGGTCTTCTCTCTACAAAAGAATATCTGGTGTCCTCCTATCTGAAAAGAAGCCTCTGGGAGTATTCTGTCTAGAAGAGCGCCTTAAGGTCATTTATCTATAGAGAGGCTGTATTGTTTACTATCTACCGAAGAGTCTCTGGGAGTCTTTTGCAGAGAGCCTCTGAGTGTTTTCCATCTATAGAAGAATCTTCTATTCTAAAAGGATTTATATCTATAGAAGATCCTCTTAGAATCTGTTATCTACAGAAGAGCCCTTGTGGGTCTCCTATCGTCAGAAGAGCTTTTGAGTGTTTTCCATATACCTATGAGCTTTCTATCTACAAAAGAGCCTAGGAAAGTCTTCCATTTCAGTTACCCTTACTGGACCTTTGGAAGGGCCTTTGAAGGATTTCAATCAGTAGACGGGCCTCCATGTTTTTTCCCCATAGAAAGACCTTTAAGGATCCATTTTCTTAAGTAGAATCTCTGAGATCCTTGTCTATAGAAGAGGCACTGGAAATCGTGTATCAATAAAAGTTTCTCTCTGTTTCTTCTAGCCACAAAAGGTCCTCTATATTCATTCTATAGAAGAACCTTTGAGGGTCTTCATTCTATAGAAGGGGTCTTTAGAATAAATATCAAGAGCTCGGAGGGTCTTTTAGCTATCCTATCTATTGGGCTCTTATATAATGAAAGGATAACAAGGGTCTTCTATCCTAGAGGAAAGCTTAGAAGGACCTTATTACACAGAATAGTCTTTAAAATGCCCTCTGAGTGTCGTTGGTCCTTCTGAGATATACAAGAGTCCATAGAGGACATTTTGGGGGTCTTTCATCCATACAAGATCTTCTTAGAGACTTTTATACAGGTGGACAGTCTCCTCTTTATAGAGGGTCGGCCTTATAAAGGCCTTTTAGAGAAGACATTTTTTGTTGGGTCTTTAAAACAGTTCTATCCATAAAATACCCATTTTCTCTCGATATGAGATCTTTTTGTAGTCTTCTTTTTTAGAAAATCTTTAGGGATTATAGTGTCCTAGCAGAACCATTTATGAGGACCCAGTTTAGGTATCAATCTGGTTTCGAGAAAAAAAATTGTAGAGTCCAGGAACATATGACACGAAATATTTTAACCACGGGTTATAATTTCCCCTCACTCCTCCTAACACAAGAACACATTTTCAGAACATGGTTATAACACCTAATATTTATGGCTTCTATATCTGCACCATGCACCCTATATACATACACACACACCTATACTTATATATTATATATTACTGTAGCACCTACAAATATTTACTCGATTTAAAATTTAAATGTTGATTGCATGACGACAATCATGCTTTAAATAGTGCAATTATTTCGTATCCTTTATCCCAATTTTTTTTTGGTTGAAGTAGTGTGTAGGTCATTATGGAGTCCTCTATAAAAATTTAATATTTTCCTCCTTCTATACTCTTTGTTTTGAAACAGGAACGTGGTTCACGCACCTCCGTTTCAAATGAATCGAATGTTTTGCTCGATCCCGAAGTCCTACCGGATCTATCGATACAGGCCTTGGTATTGACCGTGCTGGCCACCCTGGTGAAATACACCTCAGATGAGAATGAGACACGAGTGCTCTATCAATATCTTGCCGAGGGTTCGGTGGTGTTTCCCAAAGTTTTTCCCGTCATGTAAGTTGGAAATTCGGAATACATTTTTACAATCAAATATTAATTTTTCGATTTTTATTTCCAGCCACTCTTTATTGGACCAAAAAATCAACAACATCCTGTCGGTATCCCACGACCAGGTTGTCCTGAACTCAGTACAAAGCATCATTCAAAATATGTTGGCCAGCGAGGACCCATCGCAGCAGCAGTTGCATTTTCTGCAAAGTTGTGGTTTTGGAGGCCTGTGGCGTTTCGCCGGTCCCTTTACCAAGTACAATGTTATGGGTGAATGTTCAGAGCTGTTTGTAAATTGTCTGGAGGCCATGGTGGCCATATGTTTGCCCGGGGATGACCAACAAACGCCAATTGTTCCTTTGGTGCGACCCTACAATCTCAGTTCCAGTCTCAGCAGTCTTACTTTAGGGTCGCCCACGGATAAAGGTTAATATTTCCAACAAGATTTCCCGCATTTTCCTTTGTTAGCTTTTGTTTTGAATTGCATAGAGCTTGTAGAACAAAAATTTGTAGGACATTTGTTTTCAGTTTGCTTGTAAATGGCACGAAATTGCGTAGCAATTATATCCACCACACACCCCTAAAACCCACTCCCACCCATAACATCCTTGCAAATAGTTTTAACTGGTATCCCTTGTCCTTGTTGTTGTTTTTCTTTTTTTTTAATGGACGATTGTTGTAAAGTTGTTTCCATATTTCATTTTTCTTTGTCTTTCGTTCTCCCATTTTTTTCACTCTTTTTTCTTTCTTTCTTTTTCTCTCTGTAAACCGTTGTAGCTTTCTCATCGGAATCATTAGATCATGAATTCGGCGGCAGTGTAAGCTCCCTCCGCCGTGCCTCACACAGCAAAGCACGCGCCAAGCACCGCTTCACCGATAGCCCATCCCATAACAATTAACAAAGATTCTGGATGATAGAAACACAGGCACCCATCATCTACATCCGGGCCAAGAATTTCAAACGTCTAACCATCATTCACACTCACCGCCACTAGCGATAGCGTTTACTAACCTCAAATTCAACTGAGATCACCTAAAATTAATTAATCGAACACAGAAACAAACCACCACCATCACCACCAAGTAGTAGAACCAAAACTTAAACTAACTGTTATATAACACATTATTTAATAATTGTTAAAAAAAATGAAAGAAAATCACGTATTTTGTAAATTATTGATATGCTGGCTTATTCTATGGAAACACATCGAGATATTTACACACACATATATATAGCTAGTCAATCTTAAGATATTTTTTATTTTTAATTTTTTCTTCAATTTTTGAGTTTTAAAAAGAATTGGAAATGTAGTTGTTAAATTGATAAAAATGTATATGGGTGCGGAATAACTAAAATTATCCACAATTAAATATGAAAATTATAAAAAATCCACAAAGTATAAAAAAAATTAAAACTTCCACTTACCCCCAGACTCAAGGTGAGAAACCTGCAAAGAAACCAAATTATTAAAATCATTTTCATAAGTCATATTATAGATCGCATACATTTGAAATGTATATAGACAGAAATATTCGCCTCTTGTTTCTTATCTCGCATTCGAGATAAGGTTTTTTTATAGTATAGTAGACCTCCTGTATATCTCTACTTCATAACGAGTAGGGCTTCTAGAAGTACCTGAAACGGTGGTTTAGATTTCAAATTGCTTTTCCAAAACTCAAATTTTTGCCTTGAAAGATTTCTAGTCATACCCTCATTTGATACGGCCAAAACGTGCCTCATCGAAATAATGGGTTTATACCCTAGGTCTCTTTGGACCAAATCCGTTTCAGGACATTTGGAGTCGATCCGCCCGTTTGCCTGTCTGTCTGGCTGGTGCGTACGATAACTCTCGAAGGAAGTATCCGATTTTATAAAAACTTTGTACATCGTAATATTTTTTGCCAAAATTAGGTCGAGTTCGGAGATGGGCAATATCGGTACCTCCTACTCCTTTTGGTACCTCCTACACAAAATGTCAAAGAAAATAATTTACTGCACAGAAAGAGAAGGGATAATCCGATTTTGCTCCAATTTTGCGAATCCGAATATTTTTGTCAGTGAAAATGGTCAATATCGGCCCATACCATTAAGTACCTCATTCACAGAGGATCAAAATTTTGAATAATTATAACTCCTATAAAATGTGAAATAAGAGTCCGATTTTCACATCTCAATATTTCTACCAACAGAAGATCTGGTGTAAAGATGAAATATATAGGACCACTACTTCTGGTACCTCCCACACACCGGATCCAAATTTTGAATAATTATATCTCTCATGAAATGCGAATTAAGCATACAATTCTCTCGAAATTTTACACATCCAAATATTTTTGTTCTTAAAATATCTGGTGTGAAAACGGGATACATCGTACCACTTCTTCTGGTACCAAAATTGGCCCAAAATTGTGAATATCCATGAAGCTCATATAATGCGGAATTAACATCCGATTCATTTAGTCTTGACACATCTGAATATTTCCATCAACACAGGATTCGTTATAAAAATGGTAGAGATCGGACCATTCCTTCTGGTAACTTTCCTGCAAAGGGTCAAAATTTTGATTATCCATGAAGGTCATAAAACGAGAAATGAGCATGAGCTCATAAAACACGAAATTAAGATCCGATTCCATTAAGACTTGGCACATCTCAATATTTCTATCAACACAAAATTCGTTATAAAGATGTTAGAGATCGGACAATTGCTAGCCAAAACAATCATAAAATCCGAAATAAGCATCCGATTCTCTTCATAGTTCAAACATCCAATTATTTCTACTAACACAAGAACACGGTGCACTCCTTCTGGTACCTCCCTCACAAAGGCTCAAATTTTTAAATATCCATGAAGCTCATAAAACGCGAAATTAATATCCGATTCCATTCAGATTCGGTACATTCCAACATTTCCATTGACACAAGATCTCTTAAAAAGATGGTAGAGATCGGACCATTCCCTCTGGTACGAATAACCAAAACGATCATAAAAACCGAAATAAGTATTCGATTTTCTTCATATTTCACATATCCCATTATTTCTACTAACATAAGATCTGCTGTGAAGATGGGGTATATCGGTCCACTCCAAATTTCAATACCTTTAGCTATCATTACTTGCGAAACAAGTCAGCGATTCTTTACAACTTGCTATAACTAAATATTTCTCTCTACCAGAAACCTGAGATAAATATGGAATTAATCGGAATTTATGATTTCACATAAAATTGAATATGAATGTTGGATTTCCTTCAAATTTAGCACATACCAATATTTTTATCTGGAATACTTCGGTCTGCTATACATGTTATCTCACGCATATTTTCACATTTTCCAAAAATTTGCACATATCTCATATAAGGTATAGGAAGTAGTCGATATAGTCAAAATCTGGCACATTGTAATGTTTTTATCAGTCTTAGGTCAGATACGAATTGGTCAATATAGCCCAACTGTTTCGGAATCTCCCCCATAAGGGGGCAACAGTTTGAATAATCATAAGTCAAGGCTGGGGGTATAAATCTGTCGATAAAACCGACTGACACTATTTTACTTGTTTTCATCGAAAACATCATTACTGCATTTCCAATTCAAGGTATTTTTGGTTCGTAGATAGCAAAATTTATTATAAAAAAACACAACTAAAAGCACGGAAATTTCCAAAAATTAACTAAAAATAAAATCAATTCCATTCAATGCAAATTATGATTAAAAGAAAAAGAAGAACTTAAACCATCACAAAAGTAGTTAATGAATAATACGACCACTATTAACACCACCTTTGAATCTAAAACACAATGCATTTAATTCCAGAAAATAAAAATAATTTTATTTAAATTAAAAAAATAAAACGTAAACCTAGTACCTTTTAGTAGGAAAAATTATTGTCGCTTGTTGCTTGATGAAAGAAATTTCTGAAAAAAAAGATAAAATTATTTTACCAAACAGTGGAACCTCCGCATAAGATAACTTCCCAATTCTTGGGAATGAGGTTTTGAAATTGAATTTTGGGTAATCATTTTTGATTAATGTCATATAAAATTGAATAAAAAAATGCTGACAGTATTTGAGGTTCCACTGTAAAAATGCATTATAAAACTGCATGTTGTTCCAACAAAAAACGCAAACTTTATATTGAAAAGCTTTTTTTGTTTATAAATAAATTACAAAATATGTATGTATGTAGTTATTGTAAATGTTATTTATAACAAAGAAAATATATTGTAGCTTTTAAAAATAAATAATGCTTTAACCAATCTCACAACCCAGATTCGTAGAGAACGTACATGTGTACATTTTTATAAACCCATTTATATTTACAACAAAATTATTAAAATTTAGAATTTATATATAATTTTTGTAGATTTATTTTTATTAATTTTTATTTTTATACAACTAATTTTATTTTTAAAATTAATACCCAATTAATAATGAGACTTACATCGCATCAAGGGGCTCCAGGTTGTAAAAAACGACGGCCAGAAGCTCTTCTATAAATAGGAGGGCCTCAGGAGGTTGTCTTTCTTCAGAAGACCCTCGGGATGACTTTTATATATAGCAGACTTTCAGGAGGTCTTCCAGCAAAAGAAGACCACCAGGAGGAATTTTATCTATAGCAGACTTTCAGGAAACTCTTTTGTCTATAAGAGGCTTTTAAGAGGTCTTCTGTCTATTAAAATCTTTCAGAAAATCTTCTGTATGTAGAAGACCTACAGGAGGTCTTCTGTCTATAGAAGACCATCAGGAGGAATTCTGTAGACAGAGTTCTATAGACAGAAGATCTCCCGAAAGTCTTCTATAGACAGAAGACCTCCTGAAGGTCTATAGATAGAAGACCCCCTGAAGGTCTTCTATAGATTGAAGACTTCCTGAAAGTCTTCTATAGATTGAAGACTTCCTGAAAGTCTTCCATAGATAGAAGACCTCCTGAAGATCTACCATATACAGAAGACCATACGAAGGTCTGCTATAGTAGAGGACCTCTTAAAACCTCCTGAAGGTCTTCTATAGATAGAAGACTTCTTGAAAGTCTTCTATAGAAAGAAGACCTCCTGAAGATCTTCCATAGAAATAAGACCTCCTGAAGACCTTCAGGAGGTCTTCTATCGATAAAAGGCCTTCTGAAGGTCTTCTACAGACAGAAGGCCTTCCGACGGTCTTCTGCAGACGGAATGCCTTCTGAAGGTCTTCTACAGACAGAAGGCCTTCTGAAGGCATTCTAAGACAGAAGATCATTCTAAGACAGAAGATCATTCTGAAGCTCTTCTATAGATAGAAGACCTTTTGAAGCACTCCTATAGATAGAAGACCTTCTGAAGCTCTCCTATAGATAGAAGACCTTCTGAAGCTCTCCTATAGATAGAAGACCTTCTGAAGCTCTCCTATAGATAGAAGACCTTCTGAAGCTCTCCTATAGATAGAAGACCTTCTGAAGATCTCCTGTAGATAGAAGACCTTCTGAAGCTCTCTTATAGATAGAAGACCTTCTGAAGCTCTTCTATAGATAGAAGACCTTCTGAAGCTCTGCTACCGGTCTTCTATAAATAGAAGACCTGCTACCGCTCTTCTATAGATAGAAGATCTGCTACCGCTCTTCTATAGATAGAAGACCTCCTGCAGCTTTTCTATAGATAGAAGACCTCTTGCAGCTTTTCTATAGATAGCAGACCACCTGCAGCTCTTCTACAGATAGAAGACCTCCTGTAGCTCTTCTATAGATAGAAGACCTACTGTAGCTTTCTATAGATAGAAAACCTTCTGAAGCTTTTCTATAGATAGAAAACCTTTCGAAGGTCTTCTGCCTATAGAGAACCTTCAGGAGGTCCCCATTCTTAGAAGAACTTCAAGAGGTCTTCTGTGTTTAGAAACCCTTCAGAAGGTCTTCTATCTATAGAAAGGTCTTCTGTATATAGAAGACTTTCAGGAGGTCTTCTGTCAATAGAAGACCTTCATGAGGTCTTCCGTCTATAAAAGACCAAGATAAGGTATTTTGGAAGATATTTTAAAAAGGTCTTCTGGTTATAGAAGATCCTCAGGAGAATATCTCTCAAGGTCTTCTATAGATAGAAGACCTATCAATATGTATAGAAGGTCTTCTCAAGGTCTTTCATAGATAGAAGACTTTTAAGAGGTTTTCTGCCTACAAAAAACTCTCAAGGGGACCTCTGGCTAG